GAGAAAATGTTCTACAGAATCCAACTGCTTTCTAAATGTGTTTAAACATTACTCCAAGAATATATATACACACACACACACATATATATATATATATATAAAAGTTTAAGAAGAATTGGCTTTTTTAGTGCCTCTAAAATATAAAGAAAATAAACACTTCTAACAATCTTGAAAACCTAAAGGGATGTATTACTAAGCTAAATGGTGACATTAAACCCTAAAAACTACCTGTAGAATTTATTATCTTTTAAAATTTCTTTCAGGAGACCTAGAACTTGAATTTATAATATAGTCATAAAAATATAATACTTTAATATTCTTCCTGTCCCATAATTCATTATCTCTCACTTCCTTCAAAAACAGAGATGAAAGATATTAAAGATAATAATTTCTAAAAATTAAATGAGTGGATTCCCTAAAATTGAACACACCAGGTTTCTAAAAGAACTTAATATCAGAAAACCAATCTCATTTAAATATATCCAGGTCCTAAAAATACTGTAGTGTTTTTCAAAATAGAAATGAAAATGAGATTTTTTTTCACTGTAAAAATACCACATTTCTGAACAAATAATTTTATCTTACAGGACATTACAAATGTAAAGTTCCTGTTTTAAAATTTCATCAGGGCGGGCAGTTAATTCGAATGTAACACAATCATCTACAGGACATCTTTTGAGGGGAAATGTTATTACAAAAGGCAAACTTGTGTTGTTTTAAATGCTATTTAGCCCAAAGCGGAAAGGTAGGTATGTATCAGACAATTGCTTCTACTCCCATCCACAAATTCTTCCGAAGTGACTCAGTGCCATTGCACGATTAGTATTTTATGTTGATGACAAATCTAGCACACGACTCACTTATCACTGCTCCAAAAACTTACAAGGAGTGCTACAGTTTAACAAATGTGAAAAGATAAATTTTCACATTTGAAAATAAGCAAGAAGGTATCAGAAAGGGAAAGAATAGTCCAGCCCAAATACTTGGTAAAAAAGAGGAATACAAAAACAAATATCCAGCAATTGCTTGTATATATCTCTGTGGTCTCAGAAAGAAGAAACAGGCCACTTTATTTCTTTTAAGGCCTGGCTCTTTCTCTCTGCCCTCTCCGACACCCTCCATTGTGTGGTTTCTAAGCAGCCCTACTGCGAGCAGCTGTAGACGCTAATTTGTGGTTCACTGAGGTGTCAATTGAGTCTTAAACCAAGGAAACAACAGCTGCAAAACAATACTTGGCTCTGGTGCAAATATTTTCAAAGGTAGACTAAAGTTTCCACTGTCATTTCAGATAAACAAAAACCTAAACCATAACCTTCCATCGAGTCACAGAGCAAAATCATCTGCAGCCAGCGTTTAATTCCCTGAGGAGTGACATTTCCCGTCTTGCTGCCGCTATTCAGAAAGGCTTGCACGACTTTACCTTGACAAAGGACTGCCTTCGCTAGACGAAAAACTCGCTTCTGAAGAGATCTTGTGAGTTGTCTTTGTCTCGAATGTACCGCTGCCAATATTCAAACCTGTGACAAGCACAAGCGTGGAGAGTGAGCGTGGCCATCGCAGTGAATGCAGAAGCGGCCTCACGATAACTTGTAAAACAAACATCAACAGAGGAAGAGCTGTTCACAGAAAGCGAGGGGCTCTGAGGCAGGGAATGACACAGAAAGGAAGGGGGCGGCTTCCCGTGATAGTTACACAGAGTACGTAAAAAGTAAAATCATTCAAAGAGCACCATTTTAAATGGCCATGATGTGTGTGTGAGCACATGGGTCTCCACCGTGGCACTAAGCTCTGGATAATTCGAGTTGTAACACGGGGGCAGCGCTGGCTCACCGAGCTAACAGGAACTGGGAACCAGTCTCAGAAGCAACTGACACCTCTGGATGACATTACCGCCCACCCGCCTTTAAGCCCCTCTGCCAAATCCTCTCTTTTTGCCTCTCACGGAGAAGAATGAACGTCCACTGAAAACCATCGAGGCTACTCCTTAACCTGCCTGAAAGGGCTGATGGGGAAGATGCACAGTCCACCCCCTTTCCCTGGAGCCTGGGGAACCAGACCACCCCACAGTGCTCCCAGCTTGCAGGGCGATCCCTGACCTCTGCCTCCTGGGCGTCCTCACCTTGGACGTTTCTGCTACAAGTCTGATTCTTAACTGGCAGTCAAACTAGATCGCGGATAGAGGGTGCATAAGCATCGCCTTGAAAGGCACCTACTGCATTCCTAACCTGTAACCTGCGTGCCTGCTCATAACCTCTGAAGCAAAGTGGTTCTCTTAACAATGTGTCCATGTTCGGCCCCTAGAGGGTCTGCACCCGCTTAAGGGGACCAGGTCTTTTCAGACATGAAAACAAAGTGGCTTCCTTAGAGACAGGTGTGGAGACAAGAGATCTGGCACCTGACACAGGAGATGAGCCACGTGCCTCCTCATCCATGGTTATATCTGGGGTGGCTCTGCGTTCAGTGTGTGACAGCGTGTGACGTTCCACACCGGGCATGTGGCCCTCCCACCCACCGCCTGCTTCTCTTGGGAGCTCAGAGAAGTCCCTAGGGTCAGGGTGAGGGCGAGAATGGAAACGTGATGCGTGACTGAATGCACAATAAACTCCAGAGCCAGCATCTAACTCCAATGCCAGCCAACACTACCAGGAGCACTTCGAGGATCCCAATGTCTTACAAAGCACACGGTATGATTTTGAGTGTGGACGATGGGAACCAAATCGAGGGGTGCTTGGCTGTACAACCTGTGTTGTGTGGATCACGTCATATGAACAAACTTGTATGTTAATCATTAGCATATTTTTTTATTTTTTGTGGTACGCGGGCCTCTCACTGTTGTGGCCTCTCCCGTTGCGGAGCACAGGCTCCAGACGCGCAGGCTCAGCGGCCTTGGCTCACGGGCCCAGCCGCTCCGCGGCATGTGGGATCTTCCCGGACCGGGGCACGAACCCGTGTCCCCTGCATCGGCAGGCGGACTCTCAACCACTGCGCCACCAGGGAAGCCCAATCACTAGCATATTAATAGTACTATAATTTTTGATGCTCATCCAAGGGACTACAACTTATGTCAAATTTATTCATTGTTTGAGCCTGTCCTATTAGCCATTCAAAATATACTTACCAAAATCACATCTGTAGAGTCACCTTCCAAACCATGTATGCTTGCTAATGGGTTGTAATGCTCCAAAAGAGGCATTACTCTCTTGGGTAATTTGTAAAATGAGGGGGTTGGATAAATACTTTCTGAGATCCCTCTGGATTCTGGTTCTGTGATTCAAATGTGAAGAAAGTGATGAAAAGCAAACAGTGAATAGGGCTGTATCTTTCTACAGTGATGCAGACCTCCATCGGGGCAGAAGCCTGTTTATACCTCAACAAACTACAATGTCTCACGTTTGCGGAGTTCAAATCACCACCACGACCATGGCCAGCCCTCCCCGGGGCTTTTCTCTACCAGGCACTGTGTTGGGCATTTAACCTGCACTGGCTCACTGAATCCTCACAACAACCCAAATAACTGAATTTTGCAGTAACTAATTCTAACACTAATATTATCTAGGAAATAGCTTTCCAAAGACAGACAGCTAAGTCTGATGTACCATAAATATCTCCCTCAAAAAAATGTCTGTCTGATGAAGACATCTTTGAGACAATTGAGAAATCTGAATACGGACTGGGAATTATGTGATATTAAGAAATCATTCTGATAGGTGAAATTCATTCTAATAGGAGAAATTCATTCTGATAGGTAAAATCCCAGCATGGTGATTTATATAAAAATTAGAGCGGGGACTTCCCTGGTGGCACAGTGGTTAAGAATCCTCCTGCCAACGCAGGGGACATGGGTTCGAGCCCTGGTCCGGGAAGATCCTACATGCCGCAGAGCAACTAACTAAGCACGTGCGCCACAACTACTGAGCCTGCGAGCCAAAACTACTGAAGCCCACGCTCCTAGAGACCATGCTCCGCAACAAAGAGAAGCCACTGCGATGAGAAGCCCGCACACTGCAATGAAGAGTAGCCCCTGCTCGCCGCAACCAGAGAAAGTCCGCGTGCAGCAACAAAGACCCAACACAGCCAAAAATAAATTAATCAATAATAATTTAAAAAAAAATTAGAGGGATTTCCCTGACAGTCCAGTGGTTAGGACTCGGTGCTTTCACTGCTGTGGGCCTGGGTTTGATCCCTGTTTGGGGAACTAAGATCCCACACGCTATGCAGGACAGCACCCCCAAAAAAAGAAAAAAAAAAAGCAAGTCGTTAAAGTATACTTTCTTCTGTTATTAATCCGTTTACTTTCACAAAGGGAGTTGAGGTGACTTACACAAAAAAAAAAAAAAAAAAGGAAAAAAGTGTGATAAAGTAAAAACAACTGAAAAATAATAAAAATACGATAATAACGTATAAGAAAACTAAGAAGATTACAATTGAAACAAAAATCCTAAATTGAAGGAACTACATTTAAGCTTAAAATTGAGCTCTTACTGGGATTTACAGTCTTTTCATTTGAAGAACCCCAAATCCCCCATCATTCAGGCAAGGGAGGTGGCCCAGATGACACTCCCCACTACTGATTAACCAACTGGGAAAAGGTGGGAAGGGAAAGAATTTGGGGTGTCTGTGGTGCTTAGCGACAAGGTACCATTGTGACACGTCAGGCAGAACCCAAGGGCCTGTAAGGCCATCGCCAGCACACACCCTGGAGGGAAGCTTCTTCCAAACTCCTGTTCATTAAGGACTCGAAAAGTACTGGCTCTTTCTGAGATGGTGACAACTTGTTACAAAGCAAACTCCAGAAACCTCCGACAGGAGCGCATCATAACACTTCCCTGTACACAGCCCTGGCCGTAGCCCTGGGTCTCCCAGATGCTGGCTTATCCGCCCTGCTTACCTGACAGTGATGCAGAGGCCTCGGCCTTCTGGAATCCGTCTTCAGCTTGGTGTGCACTGTCCTGAAGGGTAGACTGTTTCAGCATCTGGTAGGCTTTCGTTTCTATATACGAGAAAAAGTCCCAGGTAACAAGATACCCACAGGCAAAAGAATGAAGTTGGGCCCTTACCTTACATCATACACAAAAATCAACTCAGAAAGGATTAAAGACTTAAATATAAGACCTAAAACTATTAAGTTCCTAGCAGAAAACGCAGGAGAAAAGCTTTAGGATATCAGATTTGGCAGTGATTTCTTGGATACAACACCAAAAGCACACTTAACAAAATAAAGACAAACAGGACTACAGCAAACTTAAAAACTTTTATGTGTCAAAGGAAACAATCGACAGAGCACTTAGCCCTGCTCTAAGTTAAAGTGGGGAAGACTGTTGGGAAGAATACTAAATAAGGGTCCCGTGAAGGACCTGAGTGACACAAGCTTCCCCATTGCCTCAGGTCTCAAGGACTCCTGGGTGAAGCGGAGGATGCAGAGTTAGAGTTTTAGCAGAGACACAGCAAAACAGCATCCATGGCCACACTCTCAACATGGCCACTAACTAAAGGATTCCCCTGTCAGCTCCAGGGGCTGGCCATCAGCTGCATTCCTGTGCTTGCTGGTTCAGTTTAAGAACTGAACTACAAGGCCCGTTATTACTGGTTAAAACTACCATCATGCTGAAGGAGAAAAATATAACTTACCTTGCCCTACTGATAATCAGTCAAGATAAAAAATAAGTATTTAAAATGAGCATCATATTTTTGAGTAGTAAATGCTATGTAATTAAAATATGCACAGATCAGGGACTCTTAACTCTGAAAATAATAAATCCTAAAGCAACATTTTTTAACATTGCTGGATTGTGAAATCAGTGTCCACTGGAACTAGCATTGATAGTTTGAAAACTTTAATAAAGAAAACACCAGATGCAGTACACGCACAAGGGGAAAGTATTGTTTTGTGTAACATCTGTGTGTGTGGGGGGAAGTGGCCTGGGATGGAAAGTGTTTCTTGCTGTAGGTTAATCCCAGTGTCCCAGGGTGGCTCGATAGGAGTGCATCATAACACTCTCCGATTAATCCTAACAACCTTATCACCTCAGATTCATTGTCAGGTAATCTGTTCAGGGGGTAAGGTATTAATAAAATCAAAGGTGGAGTGTCTGAATTCTAAAAAGGTAAAGAATCACTGTAAAACAGATGAAAATGCTGTTTTGTTTTTATTTTAGAAAGATCAGCCAAAAAGACTTTCAGCTTTTAGGATACAAGTCCAGATTTTAATGACCATGTGCTATTTCTGCATTCAGTGAAACTTATTTGGTCAAGGAAAAGATAGCAAAAGATAGAAAGAAATTTTTTAAAAGAGAAATGAGGGAAGGAAGCAGGGAAAGAGGGGAGAGAAAGAGAGAAAGGAGAGCTGCTTCTTGATGAACAAAGGCTCCTGGTGGCTGGAAGTTGGAGCTGGGCTCTGCTGTCTACCATCTGAAGGGAAATCATTTGACTCCAGTAAGCCAGCTCTCAGGCTTCTCAGAAACCAAGAAAACATGTGCTATTTATTTTCAGGAGAGGATTTTTGTGCAAAATATCAGGTTAGTAGCTGTGAGGTGATTTCAGATTGGGGGTGGGGGATTAAGTATTCTGTCCAAATACAAGAAGGAATGTATCTCATCTCTGGTGTGAGCCTGGAAGGGAGGACCGGGCAGCGAGTCACCCCATCCCAGGGGCCATCCTAGCGCTTGGAAATCAGCTCCACATGTGTCCCACACTGGGGCCTGCCTGTCCTTCTCGAAGGACTCGGACTCTCTCACTGGGCTGCCCGTCCAGGCTGCCTCAGTCTGCTTTCAACGGTACAACAGTTTGGAGGGAGAAAGCTCATCTCTCCCGCCCATGCAGCCAGAGCCCACCCACTTCCCACGCCCGGCTCCTCACGGGCACTTGATCCTTAAACCTCCTGTGGTCCTTCTCCAAGCAGAGTCACTGGCGGCCGTCCGGACAGTTTTTATGTGGGATGTGGCGGCCCTGACCCGAGTAATCAAGGGTTGGCACGATCCAGCTGAGGACCGCCGGGCACATCGCCTTCCCCCACCTCTAATGCATGCTTCCTCTAATGGCTTCAGCGCAGAGTGAGGTTTAAAAGGTGAAAGGATTACGTGCACTCCCTTGGAGGAACAAACACTAACTGAGGCAGGACCAGCGACCCCAAAGCAGCCGGAGGGGTTGGAGCAGACACTCAGGACTGGAGTCATTCTCCCACGGCACTGGATACCCTTATTCACTGTTACTTTAGTCAGAAGAGCTGCACAAAACAGCAGACGAAGAACTGAGAGATGACCCAGAAAGGAAAAACAAAATCAAGGTTTGGTTAAAGAAATGATCAGGAGAGGTTACAGGCTACACAGCCTGTGTAGAAACAAGGGAAGAGGCGTTCAAGTACACAGATTCTGCAGCAGAGAGGACAGGGCAGGACTGTCAGTGCAGACACTCTCTGGGGCCCAACAGGACCACACACGTGACTCTGGCCAGATGGGAGTGGTAGGAGGGGCAGGAGAGCTCATGCCCTGTCCGGAGGGGACAGCTGTTCTGTGGCCACGGCCGACTGCTGCCAGCCGGGAAAGCGGGCCTAGTCTTGCCAGATTTCTGGCTTAAAAAAAAATTAAAACACTGCACAGGCCACACAGAACATACTTGCAACCTTGAAACTAGAGAGCGGTGAGCAATTTTTTCTGTGTTCACTGAATGTGGCACAAGAACACTCAAGAGAAAAACTTCAGCCAAGGGATACAAGCTAGATGTTAAGGATTGCTTTCTCCGCTAAAAGAGCTGACATAGCCCGGGACACAGGATCAAGGAGGCTGCTACAGCTGTCTGGAGATTGCTAGGGTGCTGTCTGTATCAAACGGACCAGATTCCAGAATTTTTGGAAGCAAGAGTATACTTTTTGCTCAAACAATTCAGACATTCTCCTGGAACAGCCTAGAAGACTTGGCCAGGACACCAACGGCATAAAGCAAAGCCACAGAGTTGAAGTCTGTGGCACTTCAGGCCCAGGCTTTTCTGGAAGGAAGAAGGGCAGTGAGGAATCAAGTGGCTGAAAGCCGCATGGCGTAGCCCTGCAAATTCAGTTGTTAAATGAATGAGTGAATAGACAGGGGAGCAAAAGGAACAAAGCTGGAGGTTCCAGTTGGCCTGCTGTAAACAAGGTCGGGACGAGGGTAATATCTCAATATTTCCAAGGTGAAAAGACCTGAGTCTTAACTGCAGGGACACCATAAGTCTGCAAATTTGAGGACTGGGTGGCCCCTTAAGGCTTCACTTTGTAGCCTGTGACTCAGAACTCCAGAGAAATACTTCCTCCCGTTAGTAATGTCAAACCCTCAGAAAAAAACTGAGTAGTGCAAACAATTAGATAAAACAAGCATTTCTAAGAATACAATGATTTTCAACTAGATGCTCTGGCGCACACAGAAGTAGTGTACACGCAGGCGCAAGTTTCCAGCTCTGGGCTGCTCAGTCAGGCTACCATTACACATTCAAAGCTGCGTCAAGACTGAGTTTCAAAAGTAGATACTACTGCGGCTGAAAATACAAAATAAGGCAAGGGGTCCAGGGGTGAAAATCTACCCTTAGCTATCAATTCCAGACTGACGACACAACAAGAGAAATATATTTTTCCTTACTCTGTTACACAAGCTGGCTGAACCCCATCACCTATCTTCCTGCCAAGTGGTGATGGATCACCGAGACTTTTTTTTTCTTTTTGATATGCATTTTGTCTAGAAAATGGGAACAGAGAAAGAAAATGAAAATGTGCTGAATAAAGGGAGGCAGGAGAGCGACGATGCTGAGGAGAGAAAGAAAAAGCCTCAGCTTCTTATCGTTCATTCTCTTTTATATGCAAATGTACACCTGCTAAAATACTTCTAAATCTACCAAATAAAAAGAAAAAGAAAATATCTGGCGAACAAGTGCTTTTAACAACCCATTACAAGAGCCAGATAAACACGTGTTTCCCCAGCCTCTGAGGGGTGTCTCCGTCTCCAAGGCAGAGGCTCGGCCTGGCTGGCCTGGCTTTCGCAGAAATCCCTGGTGAAGAAAAGAAGAGAGGGAATAACAAAAGGAGATGCAAACAATGCCATACTACAGCTAGAAAAGCAACCCTGAACCGACAAAGAACTGGGCATCTCTGAGTCAGGAAGGATAACTGATTCCTGTAGGAAGCATGCAGAAATTCTAAACTTAAATTCGAAAAATAGTTTCTGCCCACGAGTTTCCCAGGGCTAACGCTTTTCATGTATTTCTGCACCTATGCCAATTTTTCATTCACACTGCACTAGATGTGTTGCTGATGGAGCAAACCCAGTTGTCTTTGCAAAATAAAACAAAAATTGTGGGATGTAACTCTAAAATTAATTCTAAAGGTAAATACTATTACTTAAAACCCAGAAATCACTTGTCTAGCAATCTACTCAAATTAAAACAAGAAACTATTAGGCTAAGGGTGCTTTCACAATTCTGAAAATACAGAAAACTCATCTATGTTTAGGAATTAAAAAAAAAAAAAAACCACACGGGACTTCCCTGGTGGCGCAGTGGTTAAGAATCCACCTGCCAATATAGGGGACACGGGTTCGATCCCTGGTCTGGGAAGATCCCACACGCTGCAGAGCAACTAAGCCCGTGCGCCACAGCTACTGAGCCCGTGAGCCACAACTACTGAGCCTGTGTGCCACAACTACTGAAGCCCACGCGCCTAGAGCCCGTGCTCCACAACACGAGAAGCCACCGCAATGAGAAGCCTGCGCACCGCAACTAGAGAAAGCCTGCGCGCAGCAACGAAGACCCAACGCAGCCAAAAATAAATAAATTTAAAAAAAAAGAGCCACACGTCTAGGTGAATGTGAGAGGCACACAGGCTGGCTCTATAACCGGAATTACTTTTCATATCTAGACTTTCCGCGGTAACCACGACTCTACCAGCAATCCTGGGCCTGGGAGCCTCTTGTCCAGGTTTCCTCCATCCTCACACAGGGAGGGCAGATGCACGGAGAAGGGAAATGCTCCCCGTTCAGATGAGCTGCCTGGAGATGCTTCAGGAAATAGATGTTTCCATCACATTCTGAATTTCTATGGAGCGATTCAACAATTACACCTGAAAGTAAGTGCCAGGCTTGTAACTGACCTTTAATGAACGTTCAAAAACTGAACTGAAACAGTTTTGCTGATACGACTTCACATGAAAATTCATAACCATGTAACACTGCTCAGCCATGGGAGGTGAAATTTCAACTCTCAAGGTCATGGAATCTTTAACTTTTGAGTAATTTTGATCAGGAAGCTATATCTTAATGGCATAATTAAATAGTCTTTAAAAGCAACTTTCTAGCAATTTGTACTCAATGATTTATAAAATGAGAAGATTCGGAGATAAAGACAGTAATATTCTCATCATCATCATCATCATTTATAGTAGGGCCAGGAACAATCACTGTACATGATGGACCAGAAGCCAGCAGTGTGAAATATGAAGAAATCCCTCCCCACCCCCTGTACCAGGTTGACTAGTGTTTCCCCCAAATTCACGACCATCCAGAACCTCAGCATGTGACCTTATCTGTAAACAGGATCTTTGCAGATGTAATTAGCTAAGGATCTCAAGATGAACTCATCCTGGATTTACACTGGGCTCTAAATCCAATGACTGCTGTCCTGCTGGGAAGAGGACACAGAGACACAGGCGGTGGCGATGTGAGGACGAAGGCAGAGACTGGAGTCATGCTGCCACAAACCAGGAGCCACCAGAGGCTGCCACAGGCCAGGAAGGATGCTCCTGGGAGCCTTCAGAGGGCCCTGCTGCCACTTTGATTTTGGACTTCTAGCACCCACAACTGTAAGAGAAAACATTTCTGTGGTTCTAAGCTCATGGCACTTTGCCACAGCAGCCCTAGGGAAATCATACCCTCCCTGACCCGATTGTACTGAAATATCTAAAGTCCAACCTCTCCCCTCTCTCCACTCAAGTCTCTTGCATAAAATAAGGGTGTTTCACACTATGACCTACAAGGGCTCTTTCGGCTTTGAGATCCCCTGCTCCATGGTTCTCAAACCCGGGGAGTCACCTGGTGTGTTACACAAGACTGATGCCTGGGGCTCAGGCCTGGAGGTTCTGGGGCACCCGGTCCAGGGTGTGGCTGGGGTGTGGGTCTGTTTTAAAGCTCCACACAGGATTCTGCTGTGTAACCACTGAAGAGAATTTCTCAGGCACTTCTGAGTTCATTTCCTTGAAAGCACCCAATCAAGAGCTCTTCAGAAAGGCGCCTTCCATTCTTCTATGACCACGTTAAACAGGCCCCACCAGCCTGCAACGTCCTGAGTGAGGAGTTGTCTGCTGTCATGAGCAGCTGGACCCCTGCCACAGAGACGGGGCCAGGGCCAACCCAGCGGCACACAGTGCTCCCCTGGGCTCCCTTCCCCAGGCACAGCAGGTAAGGCATCCTGACCTGACTGTGCATTTCCGGGACAGAAATGGTGAGGTGCAGTCTCAGGAAAGCCTGAGGAGTAGAAGTGCTTTGCCACTGGACTCCGCAGTCCTCAGTTGTCACTGCAGTTTTCTCTCCCAGGATAAATCTAGCCACCGGTGACAATGCGGCCATCGTGTATTTCCAGCCTTTTCCCAATCTGATGCAAAACTCAAGCCATGATGTTTGGGGAAGCCCTGCCCACAGCCCCAGGAGCACCCTGCAAATCTAGGCTGACCTCCCACAGAGCTTCTAAATGGACGTACCTCAGTCTGACCTGGAATATTTCAGCTTGCCAAAGAATATCAGTGAGAAATGGCATAGTCAGGCAACCACTTTCAACACAGCTTGACCAAGAGAATTGGTGTCAAAAGAATGAGAGGCTGAATGGACATTCTTAGAGGCTTAATCCTCTTGAGATAAAAGCTGAGAGCCCTTTTCACATGGAGCTTAAGGAGATGAGTTTTGCCAGGATGGGCACGTGGGTGGGAAAGTACCGGTGGAGTGACTGATGGAAAGAGACGGTGTTCTGGCCTAAATCAACAAGCGCTTAAGGAAACTCCTTAGTACTTTCATTTTTATTCATTCGTTTGATGAAATGAGTGCCCATTGTGTGCCAGATACTGTGTCGGGGCTGGGTTTTTATGACATTTAGCATAAGCTGCATCATTTACTAAAATTAAAACTCACCAAATCCTCCTCAAAGGTAAATTTAGTATAAATACCAATAAAATTACCAATGTGGGAAATTTTACTTTGGGGGTATGAGTAGTTCAGAGGGAGACTTTCTCTCATAATCTAGACAAGCATGGCTTCAATTCTGGCCTAAGTGCTCCAGGGAAACACTGACCTGACTGTCCTGTACCCGCTTCGTGGTCTCAGGCTCGCCTAGGGGTACAGATTCACTCCGCTTTACAAGGGCCACCCCAGGACAGTCCACACTCAGAAATCCTCAAGAGCTGCCCACCTCTCCAGGCTTTGCTCATCATCACTCTCAAAGTTGTCCTTGCAGGGCTCATCTTTCGTTAAGATACAAACCAATGTTTAACTGGTCCAGATGCCGTGATGCAGGCGCCTCTCATAAAACAAAAGAGGCTGCGTGGTGGGATGGAAGGACTTCAGGGCTTAATTCCTGAAATTTGAGTGTGCTTAAAGATCTGACACATTGGCTATATGGCCCTGAACAGGGCTCTCAATCTTTCCAAGTATGCCGGACCATCTGTAGAACGATTTGCTTACCTGCAGGGCTCCTGTGAAGGTTAGAGACGATGGAGGCTTAGGAGGGCAGGGACCTAGTCTTTGGCTGTCCCTGGTATTCCCTGGATTCAGCCCAAGTAAAGGTGTAACATATATGCAAATTATATATTATTCTTAAATAAAGAAAACCACACACTCATAGATAATCACATTAATCTGTGATTTTGACCTGGATTCTTTAGTGTGAACAACCAGACTAAAGGAAGGGGTAGCCTGTGTCAACAAGCAGATCACAGGCTGTGGTTGTGTGCGTGGGTGTGTGTGCAGGAGGGTGTGTACGTAAGTCTCCGCACAGATGACAGGAACTAGTGTGAAACTCACATTCCCCATGACAGTGACTAACAAGGCCGATGCCTTCAGAGCAACAGCAAACTCTTTAAGTGGTGGGGATACGCAATAAGAAGGGAAATGAATGAGAACGTCGGCTCATTTGATCCCTTCACTACGGAATGAGAATCACAGGCTTAGCATTAGAAGCAATGTCATTGCTCCCAGAAGCAAGAACCCTTCCACGGAGCCCCTCTAGAGAGCAGGTTCCTGCCATGGTTCAAGCCCTGGCACAGAACCTCATGCCTGGAAGACACCTGACTAAAAAGGCTAGAGAGTTCTGCCATTACTGGGTGTGGATTCCTTCGCTGCAACACTAACAGGGCCCCCGAGCTACACTCTATGACTATATTCGGTAAATCTGGCAGCCCCGCAAATATTTAAGAATAGCTTTTGTGCCCTTCTCAGGTTAAACTTTCCCAGGACCCTCATCATTCTGAAAACGGTGTAACTTCAGAACTTCTGCCCAATTTCCTGTGCTGGACCCTGATTTCCCAGTGACCTCGCTCTACCATATCCCTTGGGAGATGGCTATAAGGCAGAATCACACAGAAGCACCCACCCTGAGGATGAGCACTTCCGAACGGTCCAAAGTTACTACTGTAACCTGCTGGTTGTTGATGCAGGAAGCAGCTTTAACAAGTCACTTTCAATCCTGACATCACCTGGGTTTAGTTACACTAAAGTAGCCCAGGTCAGGGGCTCAGATGGGTGAAAAAACAGAGCAGGAAGTAAAGAGCTGACAACAACGGCTGATGCCAAAGCCCAGGATCCACCACCACATCTCCTCAACTCCCAGTGGGCAGCCTCGCAAATGTTCCTTCTCTTTGGAATATTCCAGAAGGACTGTGGCCCACATAGACAGGAGAGCCTCAACAGAACTATTACAAAGGAGGAGGTGGCCTCCATTATCTTAAATCAAACGATACACCTGCCTTACTTCACCAAAGGCCAAATCTCCAAATAATCATGGCAAAAGACACAAACATTTAGTAAAGAGATTTAGGTCAAGAACCTGGAGATCAAAGGAGCTGCAACGACAGACGCAACCGAGGAATACGCAGAGACCATGGAATATGCAAAGCAGAGGTGCACAAGGCCTCCGGCAGGAACTTGGCAGGACGTGCCGAAAAGGAGGGGTGTGGTGGCAGGGCGCAGAACAGCAAGGCTCCCACTAAGAAAACGCTTCGGAAAGCTTTTTTCATATCCCCCAGGTTATTTTATATGCCTACTGCTTTGGCCTATAACAGGCACAAAGCATTTTTTAAACTGCGAACTACTGATGGATCAATGACAATTTCTTTAAAAAAACCTTCATGGCAAATAGTCCGTATTACTTCTAGGTACATCACACCTCTTCCCACGTGAAGAGAAGAAAGACTTGAAACCATGGTACTTGACTATCCCCTCTCTTAAGAAGAAATTCTGAGATATACAGAGAACAGACTGGAGATTACTGGTGGGGGGGTAGGGGGTGAGTGATACAGGTGACGGGGGTCAAAGGGTACAAACTTCCGGTTATAAAATCAGTAAGTCCTGGGGATGGAATGTACAGCACTGTGACTACAGTTAACACTGTGGTACCGCATATCTGAATGTTGCTGAGAGGGTAAACCTTAAAAGTTCTCATTACAAGAAAAACAATTGTAACTACATGTGGTGACGGAGATTAACGAGGCTGACTGCGCTGATCATCTTGTAACGTCTACAAACCGTGAACCATTACCTCGTGCACCTGACACGGATGTAACGTTACATGTCAACAGTACCTCAGTTAAAAAGTCCCATGGGAAGACTACATCTGTATTAATTTGGGGACAGTCACTGACTGATACTGAACAGATGAGGAAGAATAGGCAATGAGGTCACTTCCTGGTTCCTCCCCAACAAGCCCTTAGGATTCTAACTGAAACAAATTCAGAGGTCATTAGAGATCCTGCACTCAAAGGTAGATGCAAAAGGAAAGCATTCAAATGACTTCTTGGATATCTGCAGTTTGGGATCATCTACACTTCTATTAACTCTGCTAATAAAAAAATAAACAGGGAATTCTATCAGAGTTTTCTCAAAATGAAGAATAAAAATGCAATAAACGTATCACCAGGGAAAATGTTTAAAAGAAAAGAAAACCTCTGTATTTTGGAGTGAAATATTATCTGATGCAGAATATATACAGTAATTGCTCTACTATAAACTCCTTTTTCAAAATCAGAGTTCATTCTAGATACATGGGTTTAAAATTAATCATCAGGCCATGAATCATATTGCCATAAAGGAAACCATTCTCTTCTGCTTATAAACAACAAAACTAACACATATGCAGATGCATGCCTCAGTACCTCGGTGCAATGGTGTATTTACTTGCATAAATATTTAAAGTCAGACCTTTGAATTTATAATGAAGTAGCACACCACTTTACAAAATAAGGTACTAGTAAATTTAGATGTACGACAAATAAGAACTCTGTTCAGAATACTAATTGCTGCTATTGATATTCTAAAACTAAAATAAGTAATGACATTTAGATTTCACCTAAACAAACCTAACATATGTGCAGAAATCTTAACAGATCTTAATGAAACTTTACTGCTAAAATTTTTAAATGATCAGATGGGCTTTGTAACTGAGGCACAAGCAAGCTTCTTGCCCAGCACTGTTTTTTTTCCTGCTCTTATTACAGTATAATGATACATTCAATTATTACAGGAAAGAAAAGAGGGACATCAGAAACATCTGTAGTTGGCCATATAATGACTGGTGTTCCCCATGGGGGCTGACCTTTTCACACAGACGCAGGTGCTGAAAGGCTCATGGGGGGGTGGGACACTCACACGTGTAAACGTGTAACAATTTTGAAGGACTCAGCAGACAGGGTTATTTTCTACCTTCCTTTATGTTAACCTAAGCTCACACCTCATGCTCTCAGGATTGATCCCTTGCTACAGCACCTGGTAGTGGAATGCACTTGCTCTTCAGAGTCCACAACCACCAACATGAAATGTTCTGGTTACATAAGGAAGTTGAATCTGAGGCCCTCAGGCAGCCACAACCTTACCTGTGACTGGCATCCTCGCTGCCACGCTTTCTTCTGCGCTCTCGTCTCCGCAGCCACTGGAAACTTCTAAAAATCAAACATATGACAATAAAAATGTATTTCAAGGTTATATGGATGGAATAGGCCTTTGTTTGCTTTTTTAACTGCCATTCCTTTTATTTGCATTGCCTCCCCATCTTCTTTTCTTGGTTAGTTTATCTCATCTGAAATACACTGTTACTAAAAGAAAACCTATTCGAAAGCTAAGGTATCTCTATGCTGCTTTCATGCAAAATAATTTAACCTTACATCTATCAGACTTGTGTGGGGCTTAACATAAGTGGGCCTCAGGTCCTGTGCACATTATCAACTTCTGACAATATCCTGAGCAACTCACAGCTGTCTTGGAAATGCCATTATAGCGGTTTACTGGCACATCTTAACAGTAACACTAAAATAATCACAATTTCTAGATACTAAAAATTGCTTATTAAATTTTGGGGTCATAAATTCATTGATTCTTAATCATCTGTTTAGACTTTTATAAGGTTCTATTATAATTAAAAAGAATGTTTAATAATTTTGAGTAAATTCTATTAGGTGATATCAAAAACTTCAGTTCTTTACGGTATCATTTTAATGGAATCATCTTCATCTTTGTGGGATGATCAAAAAGTATATATTGTCAATTGTTAATTTTGTTAAGATTTCATAACTTACAAAAACATATTTTATTGGAAATTCGGCAGAACTGCAGACCTACGATTAGGTTTCCCAGTCTTGAAACACCTATTTCTGGAAGGTGGTATAAAACAAGTAACATGTCATGTATACTGAATCACAGGTATTCCTTAGAAGCTTTATTTTATGGGCACCCCTTGAGAAAGAGGGTGTCACATTGATTCTGAACGCAGTTTTGCTGTGGACAGACCCTTAACAATAGCTACCTCGTTCCCTTGTAGGAACACTGCTGAGCCACAGAGCAGGCTTTCCGTTCTTCATTCCACTGTTGTCATTCAGAGTGGATGGCAAGCTGCAAGATGATTCACTGCTGTGAACAGCCGACCTATCCTTATGCTCTCCTGTGAGGCCTTTTTTCAATAATGCTGTTGCCTACGGTGCATAAAAGAAAGCACAAAGAAACGAAAACAAGCCGTGGTGAGTCACATTCCCCTTGGTCTCAAAGACCCAGCCTTCAAATGTTATTTTAGGTTAAGCTTTACTTAGGATTTAATTTGTCTCCTGACATTTAACTGAAATTAAAATGTCTTCAAGATAAAATAACACCTGATTATTTTCCAGCGTAATTTAATTCTTTAGAACAACTTACACTCACAAGAAGACATTTTTTGAGGACTGAATCTTATGTAATGCAATGTTTTTCTACTTGGGAAGTATGTATATGAGACGTGACCACCTCTGTTAACCTGGGTGGTTTACCCAAGATCTACTCTTTCACTGCATGAATCCTGTTTTTCAGGCACGTGAGGACAGAGTTGGTTTGGACTGAGAAGGAGATCTGGAAAAATGTGACCTTATGGTATCCCCATTCTTCAAGAAATGACCCCTGAACTTCCCCTCAATGGGAAGATTGTGGAAAAACTTGGGGGCGGAGGAGGATACACTAAAGCAAAAAGAGAGCCGACCTTATTGGAAATCATAACCTTCAATGAAGGATAAAGACACTCTGTACTTTGCCACTAAGCCTGCCGGGGAGCTTGGGGAAACTCAGCTGCCACACGGCCTATCTGCTTTCACAGGGCACTGAACTGTCGACATTGCCAGAAGTGTCCTGGGCAGGGAGGTGGGCAGGGATTTTACCACAGCCAACGTGAGAGGCAGAGAAAAAGTGGCACTTAATAGGATAGGTTAATACTCGTGCCAGTGCATTTCCAGGTCAGCACTCCTCCCCCAAGAGATAAAAATATACTGGTGACCAGAGCTGAACAACCATTGGTGCCGCTGTCCCGCTGCCAGAGCACAAGCCTCTCTCTCCCCCTACTCGGAAGTGGAAGCCTGCCCCGGCGGTGGGAGAGGAACACTAGGTGGTGGCACTGACCTCTCCCTGGTACCTGATGACAGTAGTAAACACGGGGCAGGGTCCGACCCACTGTGTGGGGAATGGACCTGAGACCCTCAAGTGAAAGGGAAGGGGGAGCTGGGCAGAGGCTCCCTGGTCATCTTCTGTGCAAGAGTGAAACGGTAACCATGCAAACATCTAGTGAACAAAGGGGAATATCATACTCTTTCCTTGTCATCAACATGAAAGGATGTGAAGAATTGCCGAGGCCAAACCTTGAAGATTGAGCCTTATGAGTTTGGCCGAGGCCACTGTCATCAGCCTTGACATCCCTGCAAGGCTCTTGCCTTCGGCCCGCCTTAGGACCAGCTGGCCTCCAGGACCCATGGCTTATCCTAGGGGCCAGAGGTGGACTGAAGGGGACTTAAGGAGTTCTAGTCTCCTTGGCCAAAAGATCTGGTGTCATGTTAGCCTTGCAGCTGAGACCTGTCTGTCCAGTTCTTGTAACCAGGAGCTCTTCCTACATTTGTATAAAGTGGGCCTTGGATTTTACTCCAACTGGGATAACTCTGGAATGAACTGAACAGGATCCCTGTTTCTGCCGACTGGCATTCAGGTGTGCCATCCTCCCTTGAAGCTCGGGCCAGGGCTGGTTCCCATCACTGTCTGCCATAGTGCCCAGTCCCAGCTGCCCATGTAAACCATGGCACTGCACTTGCTTCTAGAATCTGTCCAGAAGGACAGGAGCTGCCATCTCGCAACCATCAGCATGCTCTCTGGACCATCCTAGCATGTCTCATTTCAAGATCTCTGCCCATCCTGATCTAGTCTGTCTGTTCCCACAGAGAGTAAGCTCCTATTCTGTGCACCCAATAATTCTGGATATATGGAAAGCATTTTAGATGCTGAACAAAAAGAACTGGCTTAATCTCTGTAGTTAAAACTATAATTTTCTTTTTCTCATATTTAAAATAATCCAAACTTTCTGAGAGTGCCTCAAGTATGTATTTCTTCCTCATATTATCTTATGCAATAGCTGTAACTAATAATTTCTTGGCATGACTTCACAACAGCCACTGTCTTAACCCACAGTTTAAGAATAAAGTTGTTAAAGGACTGTTGAGGCTTTCTACACTTTATACTGTAGAATTTGCAGACAATGGAGATTGTCCTAGATTTTCAATAACTCGGATTACTTCTCACTAGTCCCTCCGTGATGACACACAATCAACATCACTGTTTTGCACGTCCCTTTCATGTAAGAACTTCTTTTGCTTTAGCTGGGTTCCACCTGGGCTTCAAAAGAACACAGACTAAAGTGCTATAATGATACTGCAAACATCCTTCTAACAAGCCCTTGTAAGCTTGCTAAGAATACCACCAGTGTCACCAGCTCTATACTGAGCCCTCTTTTTGCACCATGCTGAGTAAGTGCGGGGCACACTGCAGGTTTTCATTTATTTCGCATATTTTATCCCATTTATCTTCACTACTTAATACTCATATCTCTAGGATTTCTCTTACTAATTCTACAGATAACTTCTCAGAGATAAGTATTTTATATCTATAAGGGTTTTTGATGGATGGTCAAATTACAGCATGAGAATGGTTGGTTTGACTCTGCTGGACCATGAAGCCAACAGAGATGGCAGTAGATCTGCCCAGCGGGTCATCCGCAGAGGAATTCACAAGTTAAGTCCCTAACAAGCAGGAAATAATGACAATATGGGACAGAAACAAAAGTCAGTCTGAGACAAGGAACGGTAGGAAGGTCCATTCAAAGGACCCACCAAAAACAACTTATGCAGAGTCAGGAAAAACATCTGTGATACATTCTCAAGATGTACTGTTTGCAGATCTTTGAAAAGGCGCATTTCTAAGGAAGGCCCCAAACGGAAGGAGTTTGCAGTGTGACCCGCGAAAGAACTAAAGCGCATAGAGTGAGCAAGCTGCCCTGCACGTCCCACCTGTGACTGAAGGGCTCTGCAAAGTGGGGCTCTCTATCTGAAAAATGCCACCAAAGATGGACCTTCTGATGGTGCTTATGAATGGCCCGTGCTTGGGTTCCAACTTATTTGTTAGGTAGTAAAGGCTCACTCTCATCTCATACATTTGAAGCCCAGTGGTGGTGGTAGTGGTGGTGGTGCTGGAGACTGCCTCATCGTTCTCAGCAGTCTGCAGCCTAAGTCGACACCAACGAACTAGTCCCTCACTTTTCTAACCTTCCCAGGAGCCAGGAGAAAGCGCTTAGAAATTGAGCGCCAAGGCACACACTACTTACAGGATGACTGAGAGTGACACCTCCATATTTCAGATCTTATGAAAGAAAAACTGTCCTGAGTTAGGCTCAGCAGGACACCTAGGATTAATTGGCTCATTTTCTCAAAGTTCTGTCTAAATATGGATCTTGCTAGGCCTAGAACCCTAAGAGTCATCTAGGTTGACTCAATTTACATCTAGAAACTTATCAATTGTGAAATTCACATGCATAAATAGATAAATGAAGATATTAATGGAAAAGGCTTTGTATCCAAACACCATTAAGAAAAATGAAAGGTGAAAATCAAACTGCTCAAAATATTGTAGCAAATAATACAAATTCATATATGAGTTCTTAAAAGTCAGTAAGGAAAAATATTACTAACCTAATAGAAAAATGAGCAAAGAACGTGAACTGGCAAATTACCAATATAAAAGAAGAAATACAGATGGCTAACAAATAGGTGGGAGAAAAGTGTGACCGCAATTTGACCTCCTTGGCACTTCTCAATTTGGTGCTCAAAAAAAAAAAATTGATAGTATCCAGTTTCATAAAGAGCTCAGAGAAATGATATTTTCATCCATTCCTGGTAAGTGATGACCCTTCCAGGGTGAGATCTGACAGTGCAGAGCAGAAGCCTGAGAGACGCACATACCCTTTGACCTAACAGATCTACGTTTAGGAAATCATTCTCAAGAAACCGCATGGGAATCTGTAAAAACTGAACTGCTCAGATATTCTTTGAAACCTTTTTACTAGAGGAAAAATTAAAAACAACTTAAAATGTTTAACACCAGGAGCCTGGTTAAAGAGAGAGTGGAAGAGCCACACAGGGGTCTCTGTGCAGCCGTTAGAAAGGATGTAGAACACGTGACGGCATGAAAGGAAGTTCACCTGTGACAAGTGGGGAACATGGAGCCCGTGCACACAAACAGTATAACCCACGTTTGTCAATATGTTAAATATTAAAGACCATACATCGCAGTGTCAACAGGGTTCTATGTGGATAGTTGGATAACAGGCAATTTTCTTCTTTTTGTTTACCTTAATATTCCAAGTTTGTTTTTTTCCCTGTTACTTTTTTAAAGAAAACATATGCTAGCTCTAGAAGAATACGGTTTCTGCAACGGGTGCTACAAAGAGAAAATGAACGTGAAAGCACTTAATAAAATAAAATTACCTTCCATATGTAAACCAGTGCTGTTAATGCAGACACAGAAGAACAAGAGAATGAAACACCACAGATGTTGACAGCATGGATGTTTCCCCTCATACACAGATTAACTGACCCTTCCTCAAGAACCTTCCTCCTGCACACCGGAAGTAATTTTTCAGTGTTTAAAGAGAAACGCGAGTATCATTACTTAAGTTTTATCTGAGTTATAGGAGAGGAAGGGGATTTCATCGATGTAGCACCGAAAAGAAAGGGGAAGTATTCATATGAGCCAGTGAACGAGTATTCAAGAGAGAAGAACAGAACACCAGTCCCTCATTTCAGGAGAGGGGCAGGGGTTTCTGTGGCCGTTCCCACCTGCTCTGCAAGTGACTCCGGCAGGCTGGGCTGCTTTGCCTGCAGAGGTCCCCCTGGGTGGAAGCAGGCTTCACTTGGGAGAAAAGCAGTATTAAGGTACTTTGTATTTTAATGAAGCACCCAACTCATTTTTTTTTTCACATAATTACAAATTTTCCTGATTTAAAAGCATGCAGCTCAATTATGTAATTGCCTAATAGGTTATGCGGGTGCTGTGGATCTTATCTGGTCTCAGGGGGACATGATCCAAATTTCAGCAGCTTTAATGATGTATTTACTCAGGAGACGGGTTGACTCCAGCTGACAGCAAGGGACCCACAGGTAAACATCATTTACATGTGGCTGTTTAATTAGCCATTTACCCAAGAGATCAAAGTAAGTATTTCTGAGCTTCATTAGACTCTTAACCAAGTGATTTCTAGTAGTGCTTCCTTAAATTTTGAAAATCTCCTACTTTTAAGATTTTATCTACAGAGAAACATTGAACCCATACTATTTACTAAATGTATATATTGTTTGGATACAGGAAAACAACTCAAAGACACTTGACTATGCTAATCATCAAACGATTTGTGAATCTAACAGTCCTAGAGCCCAGAAAAGCATTTTGTTCTCACGTCTGTAAGGCCTGCCCCTGCCCACATCATCCTGGGAACGTTAGTCTTTAGGGCCGCGCCTTTTTTCAGTCGCAACCTATTTGAGAAACTGACTGCTTGCTTCTATTGTTAAGGAAGGATTTTTTTTTTTTTGGCCGTGCCACAGCGTGTGAGACCTTAGTTCCCCAACCAGGGATTGAACCCGTGCCCCCTGCAGTTGGAAACATAGAGTCTTAACCACTGGACTGCCAGGGAAGTCCCTTAAGGATGGATTTTGTCATTCATTTATTAGTAATTTTTATGGCTGTCACTAAGATGATTTAAAAAGGAACAAGAAACCTACTAGGGGAGGAAGAATATCATTTGACTCATAAACTGTTAATTGGGAAGCCCCCTTCCCATTAATGATGGAGCTATTATTTGAAAAATTATGAGTGAACTGGTCGTCTGGAACTTGGAATATGTTTTCGTGATATAAACAACACCTTTAGAAAAAAAAAAAAAGATGATGAGATGGCAAATGGCAGGAGGCCAATACTTATTTCACCCTTGACATAGCTGAGATTTGGGGTAGCTGCAGTGAACAAGAATGGAAAGCGGTGTCGTTACAAAACAGTACTAAATACGATGGATAATAAAACCTGGAAACAAAATCCTTTTTAGGATCTACATTTATCAATAGGTATGGAACGGATCTAAAAAGCACAGGTTCTGTTCCTCCTAAAGAATACTGTTCTTTCTTTAAGAACATTCACACAAATGGTACCATACCTCAAACAAAACAAAACAAAACTAAGGGTTACTTACTGAGTCACACGCAACGCAGTAAAATGAAAATGTGTGCAGGAAGGATGCACACAAGGTTACCTTTGAAAAGGGCAGGAACTGTGAGGGGTGCCCAGGGGCTGTATCTATACCTGCAATAATTTACTCCAGGAGGGAAGTAGGGAGGAAGGAGGTGAGGAGGGAGAGCAGAGAAAGGGCAGGGGGAGGGAAGGAAGAGGAGGGCGAGGGAGTCCGAAACAACATGGTGCAGGGGTAACACATGTGCAAGTGTGGGTCAATGGCGTCACTGTATCACTCCATGTACGTATGTTTGAAATGCTTAAAAAAAAAGTCCTTTTACTCTCTTTTAATTAAGGGGGCAGGAAAGGGGGGTTTGGGAAGGCTGGAGGGTGATGCAGAGGCTCTGGACTGCATGGCAGCACAGGCTGTGGCTTTGGGACAGAGGGGAAAGGTTTGCCTCCAGAGGGGGCACATGAGGAATCCTGAACATTGTGCATAATAAAAATAAAAACTGTAAAATGATCAAAAAGCCTGAGAAGACTACATTATGTATAAGGATAAAAAAACATACTTGGAGGGAATTCCCTGGCAGTCCAGTGGTTGGGACTCTGCACTCTCACTGCCGAGGGCCTGGGTACAATCCCTGGTTGGGGAACTAAAATCCCACAAGCCACACAGCACGGCCAAGAAAAAAAAAAAAAAAAGAAAGAAAAAACATACTTGGAAACAAGACAAACAAGACATTAAGCTCAGGAGAAGAAAGGCCATGTCTATGGGGCGGCCCCTCTGGACCTGGTCTTCCACCCTCCACCCCGCACTCCCCGTGTTTCCCCAGGAAAGGGCTCCATCAGCTCGTGTCCAGCATCTCACGCTCTCCCTAGTGACAGGTCATCAGTCAGCCCCCAACTGTCCTGGCTGAGCCACGGCAGGGTTCGTCCTTGGCCGTCCCCCTCCCATCCACGCAGGCTAAATTCCCTGAGGCCCTGCAGACCCTCCTGCAGCCTGGCTCAAGGGGCTCCGTGGCTTTCCAAACTCTGCTGAATCCGTGAACACTGGCTCCCGAGCTGGGCCAGACACTGCACGGTGGGTGGTGATCCCTAGAGCTTCTCATCTCCGTCCCCAGATGCAGTCCACTCCCCAGCCACAGAGAACAGCTCCGTTTCCTGGAAAAGTGTGGGCTTTCTTGGTCTGTTCTTGGGCTCCTAACAGCCCTTGCCCATCGCCCCGCCCTCTGAGCCTGTCAAAATCCTGCCTGTCTTTTAAGGGTCACCTCGCACACCCCTCAGCTCCCTCCTTGTTTCTCCAGATGGCCTGGCTCCCTTTCCTGAGGGTCCATACCCTCTGCCGTGTTCTTACTGCAGGCATCCCATTATGCCATTCCCCTGAAGGAGGGACCACGTGGGATTTCTCTCTTTCCCTCCAGTGGATCTGGGCTGCTGCCTAATCCACAGAAGTGGATTAATACACATTTGCGGAGTTGACATAAATGACCATACAGTATTTTTAAAGGATGGAGCGGAGAAAGAAAACCAGAATTCTACAAGATGCTCCTAAATTCCCTGGGCAAATGTTGTGGTAGCTATGTTTAACTAGGTTACCTCCAGGACCTGGGTTAACTTTATGTAAGGACTTGAGATGCCTACATATAACACTATGCAAAAGGCCTGAGATCAGACAGTTCAACCAACCAACCAACCAACCACAAAACCTCACTTACAACTTATCATTTTTTTCAAATATGTTAATCATTGTTAAGAACGTAACTATTTCCTCAAATGACTAACTTGTACATGTTGAAACTTATTTAAAAAAATAAAAATTACTAACCCTTGTCCTCTGGTCCACATTTTTGACTGGGAAAACTTCAGACAGCTTCGCGACCACCTCTTCTTGGACAGAATTATCATGTCTTTTCAAGGTGGTAACACACTGACCCGATGGTGTCCTCCACAAACCTGAGGCTGGTGCTTGTTCAAACCTATGAAACAGAAACAGGAGACCCATTAGACGTGCACCGCGCTGGGTGACTTATGAACCTCCCACATTGTTGAAGGCCCCCATAATCAAGCTAGTATTAGACAGTTTATCCAGAAAAGTCTGGAACCTAATATATTCTGGGCTAAGGGAATTTCCAGAGTCCAGTACTTAGATGCAGTACTAAAAGGAACCAGGCCCACTTAGAAAAATGCGTTATGTTCCAGGTCTGGGGCAGGAAATGCACCAGATGAGCCCGGAGCACCTTGTCGTTCCAGGAAGTAAGGAAGTTCTCAGACTTCTGAGCTGTGTGCAAAGGCCTTGAGGGTTCTCTTGAAGGGGCTTCCACTGGCCAAGGACAGGACAGTTTGAGAACCAAAAGGATAATGACTACCGCAGACTGATACACAGCAAATATATAAAAATACATGAGTTCGTTTGAAAAATAAATAAGTAAATAAAATTTTAAAAATAATAAAAACCTTTGGATTCACAGGCCACAACACAGATGAATCTACAGACATTCTGCTAAATGATATAAGCCAGTCACGGAAAGGCAGATACGGTACGATCCCACTTACATAAGATGCTGAGGGTAGTCAAATTCACAGAGACAGAGAGTAGTGTGGTGACTGCCAAGGGCTGGGGGAGGGAGGAATAGGGGCTAGTTTAGCGGGCACAGAGCTCCAGTTTTGTGAGATGACAAAGCTCTAGAGATCTGCTGCACACCAATGTGAATGTACTTAACACTACTGAACTGTCCACTTAAAATGGTTAAGATGGTAAACTTTATGTTTATGTGTGTTTTTACCACAAAAATATAAACAAACCAATCTTTGGATGCTGCTAGGGCAACAACTCATTATTCTGGAAACTGGTTAAGTAAAGGGATAGAATCAAGCATTTACCCTGCCTCTGTGGTTGAAAAAAAAATTTCAGAGTTACCAAGTAGTTGATGGGAAAAGTTTTTCCAACTAATAAATGCAGAAGAAAGAACTGAGTTAGAAAAGTCGCCATTTTCTAAGTCCAAGTGAATGAAATGCACCTAGGAAAGGATCCTAACTTTGAGAAAATTGCGTAGTGGAAGCTTTATATCAGAGGCATCCGTCTGCCAACGCTCGAGCCCACGGCCCAGCCTCGGCAGCACAAATGGTGGGACAAGTAGACACCTGCTGCCTTAGGAGGTGGAGTAAGAAGGACCAGCACTGCCTTGGATGTCATTCTGCCAGAATAACCCGCCTGGAATGTAATCCTGGACTCGGGTCCAACCACCAGTTTACAGGGAAATCATTTGGATCCTGATTCAAACACAGCAAATACAGACAGAGTTTTTTAGAGAAAGCCAAAGCAAACTGACAAGGACTAGGTAATAAAGAATCTTCTTAAATGGTAATGTATTTAATCCTTGTACGTTAGAGATATAAGTATTTGTGAGAGAAAAATGCTGTCTGTTTTAAACTACTCAAGAAAAAAGTGTGGGTGAGGGAAGGAGATAAAATAAGACTGACAAAATGTTGACAACTGTGGATCTGGGTGAGGGTACATGGGATTTCATTATACTCATATCTGTTTTTGTGGATGTTTAAAAATTTCAACATATAAGCTAAAAAACAGTGTACTAATATCTGCAACTTACTTGGAAATGCAGACAAATAACAGATTGGAACTGATGGATGGATGGATGGATGGGAAATGGAGAGAGACAGATTTGGGAGTGTAATAAAATGTCAATGGTAGAATCTGGGTGGTGGGTATGTGGGTGTACAGTTCTTTTTACTTTTCTGTATGTTTGGAAATTTTCATAATAAAATGTGAAAAAAGTTAGTCTAGGTACAATCCAGAACCTTTTAAAATAAATCTTAATTGTTATAACCTTTGCCTGACCTAACCCTAGTTTTTCCCAAGACTTGAATAAAGTGGGATGATGCATCATTGGAATCCTGGAACTTATTTAAACACTTCCCCAAATGATTCCAAGGTTCCAGGCTGGTTTGGTAGAAAGCCCCTTCAGCAACTTGCCTCTCCTGGTGATGTCTAGATCCCAGTGACGTCATAAAGCCCCCAGTTCCTCTTTTCTGTTCTGTTCTATGTGAATGAAGCAACCTTTGAATCTGTACTTGGGTTTGCAATAGATTTATTTCCCTCCTAGGAAAATGCACTCACAGGCCATCGGCAAACCCTAGTCCAGTCAGCAGGTATATTTCTCATAATGAGTAAATCAATTGTGTTTTTAGCCTGAAAGAGTGTTTAGTTAGGATGAATTAAATTTGAAAACAAGTTTAATGAGGATGAGTTAAACTAGTTAAGTTAGTTGGGATGGAATGAATCATCAGAGACCAGTCTCTCTGGTGACTGATACACATGATTTCTGCAGAAGCAAAGCCAAGTCAAGACTTGGGTTACTAACACCTCTGCCAACTGTAACCATCCTTTGGGTCCTGGAGTGAAAGAAGTAGCTACGGTTTCCTATAATTATTATACCTGCTTCACAAAAGGATGAAACCTTTGGGGTCAAACCTATGGGGTCAAAAAGCAAATAAGCTTCTGGAGGAGGTCGAGCACTAGAACCTGTGACTTCTGAACAGCTAAACCAACACCTGGCAACAAGGAGGGCTTGGGCCATGGCTGGCCTTGTGTGGAGTCCCGTCCCTGGTTCTACACAAACATACAGAATCAGAACATCTACATAGTGGTACAAAGGACTTAAAGAAGTTTTTTCCTCTTTTGTCCACTCCACTTCGGAAACTTTACAGTATCAATGTCACACGGAAAAAAAAAAGTGTGATGTCAGCTAAATTATATACTCCTCTAATTAAAAATAAGTAAAGCAATAGACTCTAAATAGTCTATAATTAATTTCATATACTTGGAATGGTTTCCAATGAGAAAACTGCAATTTAAGCAAATGTACCAGCATTTCCTAACTACAAATGATTTACAACAGATTGGTAATTTGACAAAAGTTTTAAATGCAGACAAAGTAATAAGTACCTTGAATTTTATTCTGAGCAGAAGCAGAATAAAATAAAGAGATTTCTACATACTATACTCCAAACACTATAAAGCTGACTCAATTGTTCAGCATTAGCTTGAGAGTACAATTGGGTGACTCCATCTGAAAGTAGCCACTGACAGAGACAATTAATTGCACCTGGACAAACATAAACTCATGGGTGGTCTCATTACGGTTTTCATATAAGATAAAATGATTAAGTACTCACTTTTGTGTTAAAATATATTTTCCAGGAGGCAATATGAACAAAGTTTTAAAATCAACTGCCCCAAGTGACATGAATCATATTTTAAAAACTCATAATTGTCTAAAATAATGACTTGGTCCTCCACCTAATAATAGTAAACCTTTCGTATGAAGGACTTTCAACATTTAATCCTTGATATAACAAAAATTAATAATGATGATAGGAATGGTTTTGTTCTTTTTTAAGATGCTTCATCTTGTGATAGAGAATTCAGAAATCTTCACACTATCTTTCAGAGTATGCTATGGGTCAGGTGTCCCATTTTCCAGATGGGATTAAAGCAAAGAGACAGACGTCATCTGCCGAGGTTTGGTCCAGGGCTCAAGCAGGGCCACGACCACACCAAACATGGCTCTATTCACAGGCCTGCAGGAGTCCATAAGCTGTCAGAGCCTTCCCATTCTGCCCGGCTTAGAATTCTGTGACATCAATGTCATTAACAATTAAGGAACAAAAGTATCATTCTCTCCAAGTCTGTGTTTCTGGAATGACCAAGCTGACTGTTTCAGTCCAAGGGATATCACAAGGCAGAAGGGAATACTTCACTTTGGGGAATACCTAGCAACAGCTCCTGGGTGCTAAGGGGCACAGGAGGTGGGAGCACACAGAGGGCAGGGGAAGCGTGACGCCGGGATTAAAGTCTGTGAGACTATTGTAAATAGTGCCGCAATGAACACTGGGGTGCATGTGTCTTTTTGAATTATGGTTTTCCCTGGGTATATGCCCAGGAGTGGGATTGCTGGGTCATACGGTACTTCTATTTTTAGTTTTTTAAGGAACCTCCATACTGTTCTCCATAGTGGCTGTATCAATTTACATTCCCACCAACAGTACAAGAGGGTTCCCTTTTCTCCACACCCTCTCCAGCATTTATTATTTGTAGATTTTTTGATGATGGTTATTCTGACCAGTGTGAGGTGATACCTCATTGTAGTTTTGATTTGCATTTCTCTAATAATTAATAAAGATGTTGAGCATCTTTTCATATGCCTCTTGGCCATCTGTATGTCTTCTTTGGAGAAACGTCTGTTTAAGTCTTCTGCCCATTTTCTGACTGGGTTGTTTGTTTTTTTGATACTGAGCTGCATGAGCTGTTTGTATATTTTGGAGATTAATCCTTTGTCTGTTGATTCATTTGCAAATATCTCCTCCCACCATTCTGAGGGTTGTCTTTCGTCTTGTTTATGGTTTCCTTTGCTGTGCAAAAGGTTTGAAGTTTCATTAGGTCCCATTTGTTTATTTTTGTTTTTATTTCCATTAGTCTAGAAGGTGGGTCAAAAAAGATCTTGCTGTGATTTACGTCAAAGAGTGTTCTCCCTATGTTTTCCTCTAAGAATTTTACAGTGCCCCATCTTTCATTTAATCCATTTTGATGGATAAAGAAGATGTGGTACATATATACAATGGAATATTACTCAGCCATAAAAAGGAATGAAATGGGGTCATTTGTAGAGATGTGGATGGACCTAGAGACTGTCATACAGAGTACAGTAAGTCAGAAGGAGAAAAACAAATATCGCATATTAACGCATATATGTGGAATCTAGAAAAATGGTACAGATGAACCAGTATGCAAGGCAGAAACAGAAAGAGATGTAGGGAACAAACGTATGGACACCAAGGGGGGAAGGGGAGGTGGGATGAACTGGGAGGTTGGGATTAACATATATACACTAATGTGTAAGGAATGGATAGCTAATGAGGGCCTGCTGTATGGCACAGGGAATGTTACTTCACTTTGCTG